GATAGTGTGTTGCAATATACATTATTTGGCGGACTCGAAATCTTTTTTTCTTTTCATATTCATACATGATCAATTAGAGAGCTTTCCACCATCAAAACAACTTTTTATGATGGATTTTTGAGGTGCATCTTTAATTTTATATTTTAAGGTTGCAACTTTATATAAACTTTTTGGAATATTACAAAAAAAAAAAAATCCAAAGACTACACTTTCTATGCAACTTACCCCAACCTACTTTTTGTCTCTCACTTTTTTCCCCAAAACAAACTTTCTATGCAAATGAAAAAATTCATTTTTTTAGACGGAAATGCCCTTCCCGTAAAAAAAAATCATTTTGGCCAAATTTGATGTTGACTTTTGGACCCAGTAGCACATTGCCGGAGTGCGCGCATTGCCGGAGCGCATAAGTGCCGGACCACCCTAAGATAACTATCGGACCAAAACTAAGTACTACCGAACCGCCTTTTATTTAGTGCCGGAGCTCTGTAATCCAGTAACATCCACGGTCGGACCGCCCTTTGCAACTGCCAGACTACCCTTTGCAACTACCGAACCGCACCTTACACAATGCTAGAACCCTACTGCTTAACCACACTTTACACATTACCAGAGCACTACTGTCTGACCGCACTTTACAGAGTGCCGGAGCCCTACAACCGAACCGCACTTACATAGTACCGAAGCCCGTATTTTGGTGGGATTGAGGAGAGAGAGGCATGGATAAAGTAAAAAAAATAAGGGAGGGTAGTTTACTCATTTTTTTATTTTTTATTTGGTTGCGGCTATTTACATAGAAATTGTATTTTGGAGAAGAAAGTGAAAAAAAAAATTAAGTTGGTATAAGTTGTATAAAAAATGTAGTCTTGAGAGTTTTCTTTTTCTTTTTCTTTTTTTTATAATTTTTCCTAAACTTTTTCTCTATTAGATGGCAGTTGCACTCCTTGTAACTTACGTGGCCCTAACGTTGATGGTGGTAACAGAGCGTAGGATGTTATGTTGAGGCACCTGCCGGACCTAACTGCGAAGGCCTCAAACCAATTCTCGCATTGGCAGTATATTCTCCAATAGGATCCAACAATGTTAATTTCACTAAGCCAATCAAGTTCTTACCAGTACTCCTCCATGATGTCCTTGTGCATTGCCATCTAAATTTGATTTTAATGCCCTGGTTTTGTTTTTTCTTTCTCTTTCTTAGAACTGCCTCTACAGATGGTCTCTAAATTATTCTATCTATCTTAGGCAGGGAGGGGTGCAGTAAGTTATGAGGTGCCACCCATCGCAAACCTAACTTTTGTAACTATTCCCGTACCGTATTGATTGTGAGGCATATGACGTAGGGTCACAATGGGTTTGGTCAGGCCGGTCCCAGACTTGGATTTGAACCCGAATAGTGTTTAGAATCAATATTTGGATCCGGACCCAAACCAGACCCATCTTGTCCAATATTTAGACCCATATTTAGAATTAGATCAGGTCTACTCCTTGTGTCTTAAGTCGGGTCTAGGTCCATTGCCACCCCTAATCTGATGAACAAATGGTCAATGAATTTGCATATCAAGCATGTCTAAGGGAGAGATTACCTCTCTTAAGTTAATAATTGTGAGGAGCTTCATGAGTCAAAACCAAACGTGTGGTGTATGCAAGGATGTTTTTAAGGTTATTTTTAAAGTTCAATTCATAAAGGTCCTAAAAAAAAAAATTTCTAAACTTTGCATACATATCTTCAAGAATTTCTATTATTTTGGAAAAATATCTCTAGACCCCCATTTTTAAGTTTTATATCTCAATAGATCCAAGGTTTTAAAAAATATCTTCGGTCATAAAAATTCTAAATTTTATATCTTTTAACCACTTTAGCTAACTTTATCTCTTTTTTTTGCCCTAAACAAATATAAGAAAGACATATCATTTTATACACCATCATTTCTCTCTTCACGTGTCTCTCACTCACTCTCTCCCCCATTAGAGAGAGAAGTAGAGAAGAAGGGTTTAGAATGAACATGTCTTTTTTATATTTGTTAAGGCTAAAAAAATAATTAGAAGTAAGTAAAGTTAGTCGAGGGGTTAGGATCTTTGTGGGTATATTTGTTATATTTTGAATATTTGTGTCTTTTGAGATATGAAAACCAAAATAAGAGATACGGTGATATTTCCCCTATTTATAAATATCTTGCACCCTCACACTCCTACCAAAAAAAACAAAAACAAAAAATGGAATTGTTATTGCATCCATACCATTTCTTCCTTTCTATTTTTTAAATGACCAATTTTCTCCCAGTTCGGACCTTCAAGGTCTTTAACTTCCTTCTAGACCCTAACAGCAACCACAACTGCCAAAGGGTGGTTCCTTCTAGGCCCTAAGAGCAACCTCAACTGTAGGGTGGTTCTTGGGTCTAGGAAGAATTTAGGATAATGAACCTCCAAAGTAGGGACAAGTTTGTTATTTTACATAATAAAGAAAATGGCTGTGAATATAATAATAATAATTTTAAGGGGCTTTTTTAAACGAAATAGTTTATATAATGTGTACCTCAAAAATTGATAAAATAAGTGTTTCGATGTTGAAAAACCCTCAAATCAGACCATCTCAACTTTGAGATACATGGATGTAAAAAAAATAAAAAATGAACTTCAAATTTTGGAAATAGTACAATTTGAAATGTCGGCATTGAAATGACATATGTCGATACCATTTGAGGGTGTGTCATACTCTGATTGTTTAGGGCCTCAGCCATATACAAACCACACCCTTTTTGAAATAACTAGAATATGTGCCTAAATTTCCCATAGAACTTAGGGTACTTGGTTTCCAATATCTTTGGTTCGGAGTTTGATTTTTACAATCAAAATAACTTTTTACATATAAAACACGAGCAGGTTCGTGACGCAGGTTCGTGATGAGGTGGCAATCAAGAAAGTCAGCTTAGGTTCGGAGTTTGGTTCAAATGGAGAATGAAGAACTAATTCACTTTTTTGACTTGGGGGGCATTTTTATCTTTTTAGTCTCATGTTCCGTAGGGTAAATAATAAGTCACATGCTCTATCGGGTAAAGTTTTTAATAATACAATCCTTTTAGTTTCTCATAATGGTGAATATTAATGCTTAGCTATCAACATCTAGGAAATAAAAATGTATAGGTCTTAAATTAAAAAATGCTACAAAATAAAGAGAATATATATAACGTATAATCCTATAGATCCATGCCATAAAATAATTTTCGCTCATATCTCCCAATGTTTTCAATATAGACTTTAAAGAGCGGATGATTGCCATCCTACTTAAAAATGTGGTTTTGTTATTCCAAATTTATCCATGATTTTTTTTGTTACAAGACTATGTAAACATATGAAACTACAAAAAAAAATTAATTATATCAATAAAACCTTTTATTAGTTACATAATTTCCTTGAAATAAGCCCTTTACATAAAAATAAAAGTGAATTACACGACAAAGTATCAAATATATTTGGAAGTCATAAATTTTGTATACAATAATATATTTTTGAAAAAATCTGATTTAGAATAATTTGATTTAATCAGAATAATTTTAAAATGTCAAAATTATAAACATTCATAGTTCTAAACCATTTTTCTTCCTTACAATGAGTTATCAAAAGACTTATTAGTTTTTTTATTCCTTATAATGAACAGTTTGGAACTAATATTTCAACACTACTTTGATTTCTCATCCGGGAGAAGAAAAAAAAACCGACCCCTAAGAAAGTTATTTTGGAAAAAAATTAACATATATGGACACTTCAAAAATATGATGTTGAATTAATCAATTAATATGTTTAAATAAATATGAGACTCCAAATGAACAACCAGAGGACAACACACTTGGGGGGGCCAAATTCGTTTGTGCATTCCATATTACAGAAACACAAATTTTATGTATATTACTGGGAACGGACAAGTACCAGAGGTTTAATCATCTGTTACAATTTACATGAGCCTAAATTAAGCTAAATACCCTTGATCCGGACCTCGAAACCTATGCATGCGATTTTAAGAAGGAAAATATACAATCATACAAAATGATAACAATACAATGGGTATATGAACCCGTATATTTGAACTTAAATGTAGGAATATTGTCGTATGATCTACTCCTTCCTCGAGATCGGGCTTCAGGCAGGTCTAGATAAAATAGTTTATCTCTCTCTCTCTCTCTCTCTCTCTCTCTCTCTCTCTCTCTCTCTCTCTACTACTACTACTACTACTACTACTACTACTACTACTACTACTACTACTACTACTACTACTACTACTACTACTACTACTACTACTACTAC